CCCTGAAAAAATAGCCAACCCCAAAAAAGGGTGTCCTTATCATAATATGGTGACTGGGCTACCAAGGTTTAGGTTAAGGAGGGTCCGGGGCTGAGACATTCCGAGTTTCGGGGTAGGGCGGTTCTGCAAACAATTAGGCTAAAACACTTATGGGGGGTTCTTATTGTAAGGGGTGAGGCCTTCTGTAGGGAACCCAAAAAGGGGCACCAATTTAGAACTGCCTAGGGCCCTACACCCTAAACCCTAAACCCTCTTTAGTTTCTAGGACCCAGAGTTAGGAAGGGCTTTGGGTTCCCTTATAAGCCCCTTTAAATTAAACCACAAAAGCGCACCCTTCTTGCCCTAAACCCTAAACGGACGCATCGACAACGCGATGAAACCGAGAGCGTGAGTCCGTCTGAGGAAATCTCCAAAGTGTTGAAGCAGATTCGTCGGGGGCATGAGGGCAACATGATAAAGACGAAGCACCGAAAATGGAAGGTTTCATTTACTCGATGGATGCGGAGACCACCCTTGCCGCGGCATAGGGGTGGACGAATCCAGAGGGACACGCGCAGGGGACGGCAGAGTACGAACGCGCTTTGGCCGAGTTCATCTCCACGGAGGAAGAGAACGCCAAGAGCGCCAGGCTCCAAGAGACAAGAACAACATCTTCGACATCATGGCCACCGAGTTCCGGGGTCACATTCTACTTGTGTCGCCCTTTACGTTGCACGATAAGGAGAGGGCCGTGTAGCCCAAGGAGTAGGTTAAAAACGGTTTAGGGTCTAGGGCTTCGGACATGTCTACCTGAAAGACAAGAAGGCCTCCCAGACGCACCCGCAAGCCTCTTGTCATGGCTTGTGCTTGCGGCTTTCTGCTGAAGATTGAGCCGAAAGAGGGTAGAGCTGTCTTCGCAGCAGGGTTCAGGGTTTAGGGTTTAGGGTTTAGGGTTTTTTGTTTTGTCATGGGCGAGCTGTTTGGGGTCAGAGTGCATCGCGGAGGCCTCATCTCTGAAGAGCAAACAAGACCACCCCATGGCTCTTTACCCGAAGCCTGAAGCCCGAAGCCCTCAACCCTAAACCCGAAACCCCTTGGTGTCAAACAAAAACCCTAAGCCCTAAATCCTAAACACGAAGCCGGGAAGCACTTCCCCTGTCGAGGTCATGTGCTGCACCATGGTCAAGATTGCGAGGGGGTCTGGGGCCCCAGAAACTGTCCTAAGCCCGAAACCCTGAACCCTAAACCCTACTGTAAACCCGAAACCCGAAACCCTCAACCCTGAACCCTAACCCAGCTCAGACTCAGGGACGCTGAGGATTTGGGAGTTAGGGTTTGGGGCCTTGGTTCAGAATTGTATCTTCAGTCCCTAAGCAAGCGGGGCTGGGGAGGGTGGGAGGGGTGGGGGGAAGGGGGGGAGGCTGACTCCGTTTTCCCCAAAGGTTGAAAGCCTAAACCCTAAACCCCCAGACTACATTCCTAGGATCAACACTGCGGAGGGCATCGTCATGGCGACCACCGAGTGCCTCTTCGAGGCAGGTTGGGCGTTCGGGCTTCAGCGCATGGGTCGCAATCCGAGGCAAATCACACCCCTTCAAGCCCTAATCTCCGAAGTCTTGGACCCTGAAACCCAAATCCAGAGCCCCCTCCTGCCTGCTGCATGCTGCAGATTCCGACCATCCTCCTGGAACCCGCGTTCAGCTTGATGGTCAAGGTGCTCTGGCTTTGGACAACAGGTTAGGTGACCATGATAAGGATACAATGGGTCATGGCGACTTGTCATTTAACAGAATGTCAGGGTAGTATAAGAAGAGAATTCCTATAAATGATGTGACGCTGTTTGGGTTTATGTCAGTGAGGGCTAGGGAAAAGGGATTTCGGCGGGGTGAGGGGGGCAGGTCTTAGCATAAACCATGCACCCTCAATAGCAAGCAATCTCCTTGAAGTTTCTTCACTTGCGCCGCTACTTTTCCAATGCTGGTCAGAAAACCCTGAACCTAAACCCTAAACCCTAAACCCTAAACCTCCGGGTTGGATGCGAGTCCCGGTCTACAACGGCGTCGGTTGAAGACGAAGATGTGGCGTGGGTTTGATATTGAGTCTGTTTGTTGTTACGTGAGGCACATTTCAGTCCACTTGGAACTGTACACCCGTCGCCTGACCTAAACCCTAAACCCTGAACCCCATAAACCCTCAACCCTCAACACTCAGCCTGAAACCTGAACAAAGTTACGCAGCCCAAACACGCAAGATGTTCAAGCACTTCTCAACCCGACACTGTTCTACACCTGGACCTGTTGCCTCTAGACCTTAAACCCTAAACCCTAAACCCTATTCCGCAAGCTGGTTGAAAGTCTTGATGTCCTGCAGCGTCAGCCTCTCTATCTGGGGCCGATCGACACCATGCCCCATGAAATCATTCTGATAACCTACGTGAACCCCTTTTGAGCATGGACTGACGATAGTATGCCCTAAACCCTGAAACCTAAACCTAAAACCCTACTGAACAGGCTAACCCCTA